CTGCTTTGCCTATAACTTCAGTAAATGGCAAGGAACAGGTTTATAAACCCAAGATACCCTACCCCAAGCATCCAGAGAGGTATATTCAAGAGCTTGAAGATGCCAGATGCAAGACTATCATGGATAAGATGGTGATTGAGTTTCTATTGATTGATGCCACTACAACCACTACAGTGATTAGAAGATATGTGAAGAAGATAATCACTAAGAACTTGAGTCTTGAGCAACGAGTGAAGATGATCATTGAACCGATCAATGCTGTGATTCAAAATAGAATTTCTGAGAAACTTTCAGTCCCTGGGAACTTTGTCTTGGACTGCATAATCTTTTCAGAAAGATTTCAAAGATCCTTATGTGATCTTGGTTCTAGTATGAACCTGATGCCACATTCAGTTGCTAAGGGCCTGGGGATGACTGATCTTAAAGCTACAAGGATCTCTCTTGTCCTAGCTGATAGATCAGTAAGGATTCCAAAAGGCGTGATTGAGGATGTGCCTATCAAAGTGGGAGATTGCGTGATTCCCACAGATTTTGTGGTTTTGGATTATGGTGAAGAACTCAAAGATCCTCTCATTATTGGAAGACCCTTTTTGGCTACAGTTGGAGCCATCATTGATGTGGGAAAGGGAAGAATAGAACTGAATATAGGCGATTTGGTGATGCATTCTGACATAGACAAGTTAAGAGGGAGTTCCACCATTGATGGTCAGTCTTTTTCAGTAAGGACTTCCATGGATGAAGATCAAATCAGGGAGCATTCAGATGACATCACTGCTGGGTATGTCAAGAAGTTTGATACTAGTGAGCAAGTGAACAAGCTGGCTGTTCAAGAGGCATTGGATGAAAAATGTGAGAAAGTTGCTAAGCTAGAAGATAAGAGTGGAAACATAGTTGCTGATCATATCTGCAGGACTAGGCTCCAATATGAGGTTATAATCAAGGACAAGTTGTTGGAGCAAGACATTTCTGTGATGGAAGCAAAGATTGTGTAACTGGATTACAGAAAAAGTGCAGAGAATCGAGTTGCAAGTTCGGTGTCGATTGACACCACCCCTGGTGACGATCGACACCCTCCAAAGATCGATTCACGTTTCACAGCCCATAAGCCTCCATTAAAGCAAATATATGCACTTCCTAGAATTAATTCAAAAGCTTCTGATCTCATCAATAAGAACTTAAAAGGTGCAAAAACTGCTTCACACTTATGCAAGCAACAAGATTCTCGTAGAAGGCTTGGTGTTTCTTTTGATGATTCTGCAAGAAAACAAAATGTCCCAGCCAAAGTCCAATTCTGCCCTGCTGCTGTTCCTCACTTCGTTGGAAAATCTCATGTACCTAATGCTTGTTCACCACCATGGATGCGGAGACATTCTTCTCCGAGGCATTCACTGCCACTTTCTGATCCACTAGATGTCTGAACACCTACATAGTCAAGCTAATGACTGAAAATAAGCGCTTGGTGGGAGACAACCCACTGGTAAGTCATTTAGTTCATGTACATATGCTTATTTTCGTTCTTCTAACAGTTCTGAAAAAAAACATTTCGAGTGGTTTGACGGAGGGGTGACGACCTAGACAGTCACCGAGGTGGACACCAAGGATGGGTGACGAGCGTCCCAGCTGCAGACTCAGGTAAACACTTGGTTTTCTCTCTTCTGTCTGTTCCACTTCATCTCTTTTGCCAAATTCGAGCATGATAACACTGGGGACAGTTTTGTTTAAGTCTGGAGGAGGTAATTACTGACATTGTGTTATGTTTTGAGAGTCAGTTTGTTGTGTCAAAACCTAATTATTGAGTCAAAATCAGTTGGGAACTAGGAACCTTTTCTTGATTGTTTGTGTTGATTGTTCATCTCAGTGACCATTGCTGCCAGATTAATACTGATTTTTGACTAATGAAAAATCCTTAGGCTGACCAGTTAACTAGAAACACCCATAGTTCCAGCAAAGTCCAATTAACTTGAGCTTCAGAAAGACTAAGTTATATTCATAAGGCTTGATTCCTCATTCATACCTGTTAAATTATCTGCAATGTTTGAAAAGTAAGTGTACACCTCTCCCTGGGTTGAAGTTTAAGAATAAATGAATGAAAATTTTCGAAATTTTGATATGATTCTCATAGAATGAAGGGTAGGAAAACTGCCAATGATCCCAGTATTTCATTTGAAAGAGATGATCACAGGTAGAAGTAAGGTTAGGATTATCCCATGATACCATTATTTACCTACACCTGAATAATATAAAGAAACATAAGAAAAGAAATAAGTCTGGGGGAGAGAAAGAGTACCAAAGATCGATTAATTGCAGTGTTAATTTATTAAGATATAATATGAGAATGAATCTAGAAAGCTCTTGAATATTTAAACTGCTAATGGGGTTTAGCGATGATGGTTATTGGATAATGCTATGAATTTATGAGTTGAATTGGGGAAGCTGTGAATGTCTAAGGAGAAGTACATGGTGGTTCGATTTGGTTTAAATACTGCAGTATATGGATTACAAGATGAACAGTCAAAACAATAATCTATGAGAAGGTGAGTTCCCGCGTTTTCAAACCTCGACTCCGTTCTTAGTCTTCTGTTTGCTTGAGGGAAAGCAAAATCTAAGTCTGGGGGAGTAAAAGAAATAAGTCCGGGGGAGAGAAAGAGTACCAAAGATCGATTAATTGCAGTGCTAATTTATTAAGGTATAGTATGGGAATGAATCTAGAAAGCTCTTAAATATTAAAACTGCTAATGAAATTTAGCGATGATGGTTATTGGATAATGCTGTGAATTTATGAGTTGAATTTGGAAAGCTGTGAATGTCTAAGGAGAAGTACATGGTGGTTTGATTTGGTTTAATTACTGCAGTATGTGGATTACAAGATGAACAGTCAAAATAATAATCCATGTGAAGGTGGGTTCCCGCATTTTCAAACCTCGACTCCATTACTAGTCTTTTGTTTGCTTGAGGGCAAGCAAAAGCTAAGTCTGGGGGAGTTGATATATCATAGTTTTTATGGTTTTTAATCATGATATAAGTCCTTTTTATTGAGTGTTTTTGGTCTTTTTAGAGTCATATTAGTCTTTACAGATTAATGCATGGTTGGAGCATAATTGGAGATTCTGGAGCATTCTAGAGCAAAGCAGAAGTTCTTCCCGACTAGAGCAACAAGGAGATGTGTGATGCCTTTGGTGACGATCGTCACCACTGAATGGGTGACGCTCGTCACCCGCATCTGAGGAGCAATCGCGAGTTTATTAAAAGATGAAGGAAGAATTGCAGTTTTTGCCCAGAAGTTTCATTAATTGCAAAAGTGCCTCAGTTTGTTTTTGGTTTGTATTTTAGGTTTTTCAGCCATTTTTTGGCTTGTATCTGGTTTTCTAGAGAGCAAAAGGGAGAGATTTGTACCAGAGCTTTTGAGGAGACAATTATGAGACTTTGTTTCTTCTTAGAGAAGAATTCGAACCCTTTTTATCTATATACTTATTTCTTTTATGCAATCTATTTTATTCATGATGTTTTCTCAATTCACCATGTCTGAGTAGTTTGTTAGTTAGGTTAGGATAACTTAAAGGTTGATGATGAGTTTGTAGATTTATTTTACTGTCAGCAATAATCCATTGGTTCTTCATCTTGATTTGCGGATATCTCGATTCTAGGATTAGTCATCCAGAAATCGCATTCTAGATTGTTTAATAGATTTGAGAGCATTGTTAATCACCAGAACTAATCATAGATGAGCAAAATTACTATCTGCAAAAAGATTTGATCTAGAAATTTTTGTGAACAATCGAAAGTGATCGTTAATGCTTATTTGAATTATTAGAATTTGCAAAGAGATTTGGAATTCTGGAATTTAGGCATATATAAGTTCTGTAACGAGAGTTGATTAGTTTTAAATCAGTGTTTCGAGTTCTAGACGGTTTTAATTATATCCCGATAGTTTACATTCTGCATTCTCGGATTCAACCTGTGAATTATCCTGGCCTAGCGTTTTAGTCTCTTGAATCTTAAGAACATCCAATAACCGCTTGCTTAGTTTTAATTTAGTTGTTTTGATTTACATTCATCTGGTTTGACTTAGCATAATCTGAATCAAAAATTTGTAGTACTCCCTTGGGATTCGATAACCCTTTGTGCTACAACTGCATTATTGTGCACTTGCAGTCGTATTGTAAATTAGATAAACCTAGACTCCGATCATACACTATAACTGACTGTGTGTGAATGTCATATGGTGGAGTTTATGAGTTTCATTAATAAAAATTTCAAATTTTTTATTTATTTTTTTGAACATATAGAGATTAATCACAAATTACGACCATATAAAAAAAAGAGAGAAGAAGCTTAAGCTTAATGACAGACAAAACTGTGCAAATGGTATAAAAAGAGAGATTTTAAATCATGTCTATATATCAGATAAGATATGTACCACTGCTCTAGATCTGGGATCTAGAAATTTGATATAGTCGGACGCTGAATCTGTAACTCTGCAAATCAAAGGGACAATCACTACACATCACCACGGAGAGAGAACCGATACCATTTGATCCATCGGTTGTCTCCGTCGCAATCTTCGCCACCAGAGAATAACTATTACTTCGATAGTGGTGATTGCTCTAGATTTTGGTTCTAGAGATTTGATATAGTGGAATGCTGAATTTGTAACTCTGCAAATCGAAGGGAGAATTACTACACATCAATATGAAAAAAAAATTGATATCATTCAATTCATCGTTTGTCTTTGTTGATGGCGATCAAATTCAGAATATAGAATTAAAAAATAAAAGGATATTTTCAACATTTAACCTCTAAAAAATGTTTTACAAATAAAAAATATCTCTTTTGTAAATTATAAAACAAAAAATGTTTCTATGTGTAAATAATTCAAAATATACAGAAAGCAATAAGCACAAATAGCTAAAAAAAGAAGGAAAAAAGCACAATTTTATCTAAAAAGAAAAAAAAGGTATAGTATATACGAGTGTTGAAGCTGAGAGGCACAAACAAGGACACCTTATCTGCACAAGACACAAAGAGGTTACCAGAAAATAAAATAAAAAAAGTGAATCTCAAATTTGCGCCACTCGTAACACGCACCCCTATCTCTTTGGCAAAAGCCACTTCACTCTATCATCTCCCCTTTACACACACAAAACCTCTTTTTTTTTATTCTTGTTTTTGATTTTTGTTTTCTTTAAAGAATAAAAAAATCCTAAATTATTAATCCCCTCTCTCTTCATATTTGTCAACTCTTTCTTTGCCATTTGTTACAAACACTCACGTCTCCTGAATCACAGAGTTAAGTCTTCTTCAAGTCTAGGTACTTCTTCGTTTTTCCCCAATACCATTCTCTGTTCTGTACTCAAATCTTTGTACTTTTTCCTGCATTTGATCCCATCTTGTTACTGGATTCGGAAACCCATACGTTTCCGGTAAGAGAATCTTTAAGAAAACTAGTGTTAGAAAGTTAATCTCTGTCTTTCAATGCTTATTAAGCTTCGAAAAGGTTGATTCCATTAGATCTTGGGTCCACCATTCACTAAATAATCAAAATGGATCATCACTCTTTTTGGTATTATTTATTGGATCTCTTTGTCTTTTCCCTTTAACTTAATGTATTTTGGTTACATTCTGATCACCTTTTAGTGAATTCGGTTTAGTTTAATCGTTTAGTCAAGAATCTTGATGATTCAGAACAAAAAGCACAAATCTTGATGTCATGTAGTCTATAGAAAATAAAGTTGTCGAATCTTGATATGCTTTTTGAATACTTCTTGAATTTGATCAGGGATCCAACAAGCTTCAAAGAAAATGGCGCAGATCTTGGCAGCTTCACCAACATGTCAAATGAGAGTCACTAAACCGAGCTCCATTGCATCCTCCAAGCTATGGAGCTCTGTTATGGTGAAACAAAAGAAACAGAGCCGCTCTACTAGCTTTAGAGTGATGGCTCTCCAATCTGATAACAGTACAATCAATAGAGTTGAGAGCCTTCTCAATCTAGACACCAAACCTTTCACTGACCGGATCATCGCTGAGTACATTTGGTAATGAGTGAATTGGTTCATGTCGCTTCTGATGTGAGATTCCTAATATTTTTCTTTGTGTTTGAATAGGATTGGAGGATCTGGAATTGACCTTAGAAGCAAGTCAAGGGTATGATACCCTCTACGCTGTATTAAGTTTAAGTTAGGAACTATGATGCTAATAGTTTAATGGATTGTTTCTCGAAAACTTTCAGACTCTTGAAAAGCCTGTGGAAGATCCTTCTGAGCTTCCCAAGTGGAACTATGATGGTTCGAGCACAGGACAAGCACCTGGTGAAGATAGTGAAGTGATTCTATAGTAAGATTTTTCTCAAGGCACTGAACATTTCTATTCTCATTTGCTATTTATTTCAAAATCTCATATTGTTTTATTCAGTCCTCAAGCTATCTTCAGAGATCCTTTCCGCGGAGGCAATAACATATTGGTATGTATAATTAATTATATAAGTTTGATAGCATAAGCTACATTTTTGTAATCGCGCGTTAATGATTGAGGTTTTGTTATGATAAGGTTATCTGTGATACTTACACACCAGCTGGTGAGCCAATTCCAACAAACAAACGTGCCAAAGCTGCTGAGATCTTCAGTAACAAGAAGGTCAACGACGAGGTCCCATGGTTAGTCATTACCCGAAAATCTCATTTTTATCGGTTTACCTCAAATCCCATTTTACTAGAAATAGGTTCTTAAGTTTGAATACTTCATCTTGATTTTTAGGTTTGGCATTGAACAAGAGTACACTTTACTTCAGCCAAACGTAAACTGGCCTTTGGGTTGGCCCGTTGGAGCGTATCCTGGTCCTCAGGTAATATAACCAAGTCAAGCCAAAGAAGTTTGTTGTTGTGTTGGTTTACACAAAAGAAGTAACCAACTCTGTTTTTTTTTGTTAGGGTCCTTACTACTGTGGAGTTGGAGCTGAGAAGTCTTGGGGACGTGACATTTCAGATGCTCATTACAAAGCTTGTTTATATGCTGGAATTAACATTAGTGGTACTAATGGTGAAGTTATGCCAGGACAGGTCTCTTTTTTCTCAATGGGGCTTCTGATAACAAATTCTGTTTTTTTTTTTTTTTCTCTGTTTTACCACTTTGTAATCCTCTGTTGTTATAAAACATTCTTGCAGTGGGAATTCCAAGTTGGCCCAAGCGTAGGAATCGAAGCAGGTGATCATGTTTGGTGTGCTAGATACCTTCTTGAGGTAATCAAGATTCTCCTTTGTAGTTAAGAGTGAGTGAGTGAGAGACAAAATCTTGTAACGGTTGCAACATTTTTGCAGAGAATCACAGAACAAGCTGGTGTTGTTCTAACACTTGATCCCAAACCAATAGATGGTGACTGGAACGGTGCTGGTTGCCATACCAATTACAGTACAAAAAGCATGAGAGAGGAAGGAGGATTTGAGGTGATAAAGAAAGCGATCTTGAACCTCTCCCTTCGTCACATGGAGCACATTAGTGCCTATGGTGAAGGCAATGAGAGAAGATTGACCGGGAAGCACGAGACAGCTAGTATCGACCAGTTCTCATGGGTATGCAAATGCAATAAGGGTCTGCAAGATTTACACATTTTAAGTACTTATGTTTTGTTCCTCTGCTCATTTGCTTTAAACTTCTACTTGTAGGGTGTGGCTAACCGTGGATGCTCGATTCGTGTGGGGCGTGATACAGAGAAGAAAGGAAAAGGTACTGGTTCGTAAAATGGTTACACAGATTTTAGTTTTTAGGTTATATATTGTTAACAAATATTGTTGTGGATCGGAATGTACAGGTTACTTGGAAGATAGGCGTCCAGCATCAAACATGGACCCATACATTGTGACCTCACTTTTGGCTGAGACCACTCTTCTTTGGGAGCCAACCCTTGAGGCTGAAGCACTTGCAGCTCAGAAGCTTTCTTTGAATGTTTAAATTAGTCCGATGAACACAAATGTCTATGTGGTCGTGGCGGGATCATAAATGCTGTTTAAAACATTGGTTCGGATTAAGACATTCAATTTGTTGACTTTTTTTTCATTTTCATTGTTGAAACTCGCTTTATGGATAATGTTCACCCTTTTGTATTTGGTTCTTAAGACTTTCCTAGTCATTATGGCTAATGTGAGTTTATATATGGTTTCAAATAAACACTCTGAGTTGCAGAGAGGGTTTGAATAACTGCAAGCTAAAGAGGAGGTTTCAACTCATAAACTTCTCCTACTAGTGAAGCAAGATTGATATCTCTCGATAACTGTTATGTCGAATTGTAGTTTTGGTTAAGAAATTAGTTAGCTACCGGTTAAGTTAGCTGGTTGAGTTGTTCATCTTGTATATAAACAGAAGAAAATGTATTGAGAACTTTTGATGAGAATATACAGTTTTATCTATTTCTCTTTTACATTTCTTATTATGGTATTAATGTAAGAATTAAGTTCAAAAGTCTATATTTCGTCATACTTTCTCAGTCTCTTTCAATTACATCTTCAATTTATTGGAACTATCTTTAAATTTCTTATTATCCACTAATGGTTCTCTATTCTTTGTTCTTGACTTCAGATCTAATGACAAGAAAAGGAAGCAAAGACCAGAAATTAGCAAAGTTCTTTTTGCTCCTAAAGTTCTCAATGTAGCAAACGGGCTTAGGTTTTCCAAATTGACATCTCGGAATAGGCTCTCTACCTTCGGGTGGATCTCAACAAAAATAATTGGACCGTTACTAGGGGTTTTTTCTTTCTCTATAGGCTTTTTTCAATCGCAACTCTTCATATTGAGCCTACAATTTTAGGTGATATGTTTGCTTCCAGCCGCATGGGAACTTCAGGATTATTTGGGCTCACAGATTAGTATCGCACCTTCAGAGCCGTATGGAACCATCAGAATCAAAAGGGTTTCACAGCTAAATGGGACCTTAAGATCGTAAATGGCATTCGGGGTCGAAAATGTTAATTGGTTAAGTAACATAAAAATGGTTAAGTAATGATAAGAAATATGAGTTTTGATGGGACACTTCGGTGTGTTAAACGGCCACGACCATGATGCCACATTGTAGAGTTTTGATGGGACACTTCGGTTTGGACCATACTTGAAGAAAGAGAAATTCTGCTCCCGGTGCATCATATGCCAAAAGACCAAATCGAAGTTATATCATTACGTTTTCTAAACTCTATTACATATAACTAACGTTACTAGATAGATATTTTTTATATATTTTGTCTTAGGTTTACAAGACATTTGAAATTGAGTGTGATTCTGAAGTTGGAAAAGGTCAATCACTTACTTTACTGAAAAGCTTGGAAAAACAATTTTAAAATTGATAATGCTAAATTTTTATTCGATGTAAAAATGTTTTATCCGTTATTATACTTAAAATATAATTTTAAGAAACAATTTCATAAGACTTTTAAATTGAATATTTCAAATAGACTATTTAGAAATCAGTTAAATATTTTATTTTAAAATAATAACTTCTGTATATTTATTTTTTTGATGAATTGTTTGAATTTTACATAAGAAATTATTGGAAAAATTTATCTTGAATTAAAGTTTTAAATAGTAAACTATCGCAAAAAATTGAATTATATTTATATTTTACAGAGGGATTACTACAAAAAAAATTTGTACTTAAAATATTGAAAAGTATTTTGCTTTTACTGTCAAAGGAAATTCTAGAAAGATATCTTTAAATTATTTTTTCATTATTTTCTCTATTATATATAATATGTTGAAACTGATTTTATAGTAATTAAATTACGGGCCTCAACATCGAAAATAGACCTGCCAAGCTATAAGTTTACATGCTAGCCTCCATGTATGTCTAATGCATGATTTGACCAGTGTTGAAGGTAAAGAAACAACCCAATGATATGAATCTTTATCGATTCTAGAAAATAAATAACCGGCCAGCACGATTGACGAGGCTAATCAAAGAAAAGATGAAAGGTGTATAAATATAGAGAATACAAAAAGGAAAGAATATTCTCTTCGAAAAAGGCCAAAAGCCATCTAGAGAGGTGAACACTTTTAAATATGCAAAATAGCTGGTGAAACCTAACCTAGTGTTTCTCATGGTGGCATATCCTTCCAGGCATACTCTGTGAAGACCCAAATTAAGGTTAATAAATTTCTCTCATAATTAACCAAAGTTTTTTTATAGTGATATTAACTATCTAAATCTCACGAACTCATTTTATTATTCGAATTTTGTTATGTTTTTCTATCAGAAATAGTTAATTTGGATATGTAAACTTAGTAGGAACTCATTGGGGATAAAGGCTAGCTATTGAAAATTTAATTTAGTTTTAATGTTTTCATAATCAATTTTTGTTCCAACAATGATAAGAGAAACAACATCTTGAAAGTTGTTTTTACAAATTTCACAGCAAAAAAAAACTATTTTATATATATATATATATATATATATATAATTGTGACTTGTTTTTAATTGGTTTAGCTGCTACTATCCGCAAACACAGATTTTATGGGTTATAGGGGTTATTAGTTAACTTTGTTTATACTTAGCTGATATTCTTTGAGGCTCATCTTAGCAAAATCTTCGGCAATGTCTATATCGGGTGCAATGGGGCTCTCTTAGAGGTTAAACAAAGTTCCAACGTTCATGTTGATGATGAGGGTTCCTATGGCCTTGTTAAACCCTTATGTTAGTCTCCTAGTCTTAGAACGTGTCATTGGTGAGCCATTGACGGTGGTATAGTCTCCTGTCCCGGTACGAGTGACTGGTCCATGTCCTCATCAGGAGTATTTTACTTTGAATGGTCACATGCTGCAACCATAGTTGGTATCTGGACCACTAGGAGAAGAGACATCACTTTCCCTCTCCACTCTTCAATAAGAATAGCAAGGTGAACCATCAAGCTAATGATATAAAATAAGCGCACTTGGAAGGCAATCGCATGGCTATCTTGTATATAGATGTTTGACGAATTTATTTTCATTTGGTTTAGTATTTTCGAGTCAACAGGGGATGAGCTAGAACAGTCACTTGGGATAGGGAGATAAGCACTAGAGTATCATGATACCTATGTCGAGCAAAAGCCCTATGTAAAAGTTGCAGAAACTGCATCGGGGATGTCATATCGAGGATACTGTATTGAGGATGCTGTATCGGGATGTTCATCGACACGGAGGTTCCAGAGGATTCTAAAAGATTTCAGCTCTCTATATCGGCTATTTATATCAGGGTCTTACATTGATACATTTGATATCTCCATTATTTATACCATTTTAGCTTGAATTCATCATTAGTTTTAGTCTTTAAACATGCATATTTTGCTTCTTCTTGTTCGATTTGCATACATTTAGGAGTTAATGTAGTTTTAGGAAATGCATTGCATTTGGAGTTTTATTCAGGTACTAGAAGGAGTTTGGAGATCAATTGGTGCAATGGATGTGAGCTGGGAATGGAGCAAGGAGAAGGACAAGGTCGGATGGGCCAATATCGATGACGATATCGATGTGATCTGATCGATATAGAGCATATCAAAGTGAAGAACGACCACTTCAAGTCGATACAGCAAGATCATGGTGTAAAGGCAGCATATCAACTAAGGAGGACCTCGATGCACCAAAGGAGACTCATACCGACCAGTGTATCGATCACCCATGTCGATACACCAGGCAATACCGAGGTACCATATCGACGTGCCTGCCCGATAAGCCTTAACTAAAGGGCGATTGTATCGACTTCACACCAAGGAGAGTCAAGCCGATACATTCTTGAAGCCTTGCATATCGACCACCATATCGACCAGGACATATCGATACAACCCACAAGAAAACTTAATATCGATGTGTGTATCGATGTACAAGGCCTATATGGTCTATCCGAGTCAGCCTATTTTTGGTTTATTCTTGGTTAATTGGGGGTTTCTAAGCTCCCCTATAAATACTAAAGTCCTAAAATGGTTAGGCAACTTAGAACTTATTAATTTTCTTCTGTTCTTGCTTTAAAAACTTTTCCTCTTTCAGCTTTGCTTTGTAAGAACTAGTTTGATTTAGTAAAATTCTGCATTTACCTTTAATCTATTCTTGCTTATTCTGCTTTCTAATCATGCTTAACCATTGTTTCTCTTTGGAATATGTGGTTTTGATTATGGCTAGTGAGTAGTCTTATTTGGGGTTTGAGATGGGATAGATTAGAGAGGTTTTAGGATTATATTAGTGATGTCTTATGCTTAATATGATTGTCTTCTCTCTATTAGATGTGCTTAACACTAGATTAGTCTTGGCCAGGCTTGTTTAGTATCTTGGCTTTCTCTTATACCTGATAAGTGTTTGATGAAATACTGTAATGAGTCTTTTAGAGGATTTGTTCTCTTAGCCTAAGGAATTAGATGTCTAAGGTGCATTTTGGCTTTATAGGATTGGAGTTCTGTTCTCAATACTTGCTGATCATGTGTTTGAGTAAATGAATTTATCTTGAATTTGTGCTTAGCAAAGTGATTAGTATCAAGGAATTGAGCTAGTTATAAATATTAATCCTATGCTTAGAAGATAACATCGTTCGAATGGTTTTGAAGCATCACTAGTTTAGTTCTAATCCCCTCTTAGTCAATAACCCCCATATTAGATCCTTGCTTTAATCTATTTGAATTTCCTGCTTTAAATCTGTGTTGCTTAGTTTTTTCTTAGTTTGATCATAACTGCTTTCTTGAATTTGGCTTGACTTATGGGATTTGCTGCATTCTTCGTGTCTTATGAACTCAGATGGATTGACACCTTTCATACTACAATGACATGAGTGTGTTAGGATTTGAGTAGCTAGACAAAATCCTGCTATCAAATTGGCGCTGTTGCCATATGAGTTTAGTTTAAGCATTAGGATTTGTGGATTGCTTGAGATTAAGCTGTTATTTTCTGTTTGTTACTGATTTGCAAGTTTGCTCTTCCTCTTATAGGTGTATGAACTTGAAGTCTAGAGGCAATCAAAACATGCTGGATTATCAACACAATATTCTGCAAGTGGAGAGAGCATTAAGAGCAGCAAGGGAAAGAGAGAGACTGCAAAGGTTTCATCAGCTCAACATGGAGCATGGTATAGATGATCAGAAATTTCAGGGACCACCTGAAGCACAAGGTGTTCAGGGAGTTGCTGGTGTTCAAGGACAGCAAAGAGTCCAAGGTCAGCAAGGTCAGAGAGGACCAGCACATGCTGCACGCCCTATGAGGCCCATTGGTGCTGGTGATGCCCTTAACACCTATAACAACATGACATGTATCATCCCTTCACCAGTGCAGAACAACAATTTCGAAATCAAGTCTGGTTTGATCTCTATGGTTCAGAATAGCAAGTTCCATGGTTTGTCTTTGGAAGACCCCTTGGACCGCTTAGACAACTTTGACATATTATGCTCTCTCACCAAAATCAATGGTGT